TCCATTGCAAGCAAAGTTGTCTCAAGTGGTGCAAGGTAATTTCTGGAAATGGCCCCCTGCTAGGTCCCCAGAACTATTACAAATTCAAATTGCATAATGTGGCAATCTGTATCCAAATGAGGCAGTAGAAGACTCAGTTATATGGCTTGCATCTCCATCAAGATCCTTCAAAATTGGTTACACATGGAATCATTTGAGGGAAAAACAAGAAAAAATGCCTTGCTTCAGGCTTGTTTGGTTTGCAAACTCTATACCAAAACATAGCTTTATGTCTTGGCTTGCTATTTTGGACAGGCTTTCAACTTGAGCAAGACAAAAATCATGGTCACCCCATATAGATGCTACTTGTGTGTTGTGTGGGGCTGAAAATGAGACTAGAGACCATTTGCTCTTCTCATGCTCCTACTCTAGGACTGTTTGGGATGTTATTTCCTCCTTGTTAGAAATTCCATCCACATTCTCTTGGCAATCTGCTTTGTCTTGGTTGTGTCACAAGGCCAAGCGAATATCATTATACAGCAGTCTTATAAGATTAGCATGGTGTGCAGCAATATACCATATTTGGATAGAGAGGAATACTAGAATTCACAAACAGACATTCAAAAGTGAGTTTGCAATTGTAAGTAAGATACAAATAGATGTCCGTGACAAGGTACTTAGTTTTGCTAGAGCAAAATCTTCTCTTATACCTAAGACTAAGAGTATTGCTTCAAAATGGGGATTAGAAGTTTTGTGTAGAGACTGATATGTCATTTTTGTATAGCTAATTCATTCTTTGTATGTGAATATTGGTAGCAGCCTGTATTATAAAGAGCTGCTTTGTGTATGGTAGAAGTTTTGATAATAAAATTTACATTCGACCAAAGGATGTGTGTCAGTGATGCGGTAGTGGTTGTTCCTGTGAAACGCTTAATGCTACTGAGATAACCAGGGAAACCCATATGTGGGGGTGTTGTCGCTTGGTTATGATGCTGCAGTTTGTGGGCGGAGTTTGATGGCCAGGTTGCATGCAGACTCCGTTTAGAATTCACTGTTGGCCATCTATATGCATTTTGGGGAGGAGGAGGCTGCATTGAAGGTTTTTAATGCGATATTGGAGAGTACCATTGTGAGGAATTCAATGATTAGTGGGTACTTTTAAGAACGGGATTATGTTCAAAATGTGGTAGTTTAGAAAATGCATATACAAGAGATCTTCACTTGGATCCCCCAAATAAGCAAGGACATTATTTTGTGGAGTGTGATCATAATTGGTTACAGAATGCATGGAGATGATAAGACTGCTGTTTTACTTTTCAGAAAAATGGTTAAAGCTGGAATAAAGCCTAGTAAGGCTACTTTCACTTTGGTACTGCATGCTGGTTTGGTGGACCTGGTCTGGATTTGTCCAAATTGAAGAGCGAGAACAGACAAAAAGGCCCTAATGAGTGATGCTGATCACTATACTTGCATTGTTGATCTTCTTAGTCATTCTGCTCGACTAGAGGAAATTTATGATATATATAACCTTAGAACAGTGCCAGCAGACCTTATCATTCTATTTACGGGTGCACTGACTAGTGCTTTTGTAATACATGAGAATGTTGAACCAGGGCTGGTGGCTGCCAAGTGGCTTTTTGAGCTATAACCAGAAAACACTGGAAATTATGTGTTGTAGGCATGATGCAGTTGGAAGGTGGGAAGATGCAGAGAATCTGAGAGATATGATTAATGAGATTGGATTAGGAAAAACTCCTGCAAAAAGCTTGATTGGGGTCAGAAATATGCAAAATGGTGGCAGCAACGTGCTTTTTATAAACCTTCATGTAGGAAGAAAGTGCTTCCATTTTTTATAAAAACTTTATTCAATCCTCAAATCAGTGTTGCAACTATGTCAACCATGATCAATCAGAGAACTAATTAAGGCATTTTGTTTTCAAACTAGCTGGATTCATTATGCTTGGAAGAGGTCCCCCTCCCTTATTGTATAATCAGAGTAATCATGTGGGAGAGTGGCTATCGTTCTTGAATCCCCTGGTGTGAGGTAAGCCTGTCTGCTTCTTTGGTTTAGACTTTAGCCTGTAGCTAGCAGTAATGGATGTCCAGAGTCTTTAGAATAGATTCTTTAAGCTTTATTGGACTTTGCAATTGGGCCTATGAGGGTGAACTGCATTTTACTGGTTCACAATTTTTACTCTACATAGATTGGTAAAAAAAAAAAGAAAAAGAAGACAAACCTCTAGTTTCCATGACTTCTTGAAACTGGTTTGTTTTTGTTTTTCTTTAGTGGTGCACCTACTACTATGTTTTTTAATTTCTGGAAGGCTGAAGTTAAAGGGTTCATGCACATAATTACTCTGAACCTGCATTTTTCTTGTCTTATCTTTGAAAAATCGAATCTCTAGTTTGCCTTATACAATTGTTAGTACATATTGGGGAAGATGTTATTATAAATAAATTTTTTTATAATAGATCCAATCTCAGTAGTTCCTTCTTTCCAAAGAAAAAGGTAGTGATGCATTAATTTTTGACCCCCAAGGCCCCAGATATTTCTACGAGTATGAACAAAAACATGGTGACCACTTCAAAAGGATGAATTGTTCTTTCCAAGTAGTTACAGATTTTGTGCAATGTATGTCATGTTTCTCTCATACTTTGTTTACTATGAAAGATGGGGGCCCTAATGTAGCAAAAACTGGCAGACAGGCTTGGGAATTTGAGTCTGACACAATTATTCAAATGCATTAGGACACAGATTAGGAGCTGTAGATGCGTAGAATGTGGAAGTATGAAGTTTCCTTACCACCATTGTACTTGATAACATCTATTGGTTGTTCGACATCTTGTCTGTTTGGAAGAGTTCATTCATACATTTGATCATCTATGCTTTGAAACCAGTCTCCACTACACTGCTCCATGTCATGTGCTATGTTTTCATTTTATTTTATTTTTTTATTTTACTGATTAAGGATATTCTGTTTCACACAGGCCCACTCACTCATTGCCATAGAAATGCACATGTAGGAGAGATGAAAATGAATAGAATGTGGGAAGCAGGTTTAATTATCCCTCATGGCCATGTCCTGTTGCTGTGTATAAACAATGGTCACTGGCCAATGCAATCTAGGAAGGGATTTTTTGCTTATCTGCTAATTACAATAGCTGCTAATTTTATCTTCTTCTTTTTTTTCCTTTTTTTTTTTTTTTCGTGTTACTCTGTGATATCCGATAATTATATTAGATTCTAACTAATTTAGAATCGATTTGGATTTGACTCTGTCGGATCTGTCGAACCTCGTAATGGGAAGGTCTCTTAATCCCTATTTCTTCATTCACAAAATTACTTTATTTAAAAAGAATCAATCTCATTTTATTTGAATCAACAAGTCGTTAATAACTTAGCAACCATTTTTCTTATTTCAATCTTAGAGTGCACAATTAGAATTAATTATTTTTTATCTTTTAATTCATCACACCATATAATATAACATGTAATTTAAAATTAAAATCTTTTATTTTTATTAAAAAATTTATCACTCAATTATTTAAATTGTTAACATCAACAGTTACACGCTAAATTTTTTTTTTTTTTGTTATAAATTTACATTCATAAGTTTGTTTTGTACCAGCCGCGTTCTTTTAATATGTGTTTGATTAGGAATGGAAGATTTAAACATCGGAACTATTCGTTGAACATGACATTACAACTTAACACCACGAAACCATAGGGTGGATTCAGTACACAACTTGATATAACATTCCCCTATTTAATTTTCGGAGAATTATATGAGTCATTATATAAATGCTAATGCAGGGTAAAAAGATCTTTTCTCTCATTTATTTTTCTTCTTATTCAATGTTTCCAAAATTCTTTTGATAATTGAAAAAAAAAAAATACAATTATTATGGGCCGTAAGCACAATATTAGTTATGTTGTTTCAATTTTTAATAAAATAATATAATAAAAGATCAAAATAATTTTAGCTTTCACGTTCTAAAACGTTTTAGTTCAGGAGTATTATAGAATAAATTATTTTAATTTTTCAATATAAATTTATTAAAATAGCTTAATTAAATTTTCTTTTTAATTTTCAAAGAAATTATAATTTACTTACTCGTGATTTGGGATTAATGTACAAAAAGACTTAAAATTTTAAAACGTGCATATAATATACTTGTAATTTGAGGTGAATGCATATAAAAATATGAGATTAACATGTATAAATAATGATTTAAGATTTGTATTATGTGTATATATATAACAATTTGAAATTAAATGAAATTATGTTAAATACCCTTATTTTTCTTTTCTTTTCATTCTTTTAAATTAGTGATCTTTAAAAAATTTCAAGTTATTATTTACATTAAGTGCAGATTATAAGTATTTATGTGTATATTTTGATATATTAAATATTTATTTACACATATTCAAAACCATAAATACGTTATATACACATTTTAAAATCTCAAATTACAAATAATTAAATCTCAATTCTCCTTTAAAATTCAACTAAAAAATACTTAAAAAAAAAAAAAAAAAAACTTAACTTGTGAGTTACAAGTTTCCTTTTTTTTTTAATTTTTTTTCTTGAAACTACACTTACATCCCCGCAACTCTCAGTCTTAAGTTTTAAAAACTTCAACGAAAAGAAAGATTAATATTAACTGCTATGAATGTGTCATTATTCTTGATTTCAACGCCGAGTATGGTGGTATATAATAGTCATTATAAATGCTAATATAGAATGTGATTAAGACATGATTCTACCTTACGCAATACCCACGAAATTATTCATTTCCCCTTGTTATTAAGTCAAATAAAAACGAATTATTAATTGTAGCCCATATAGAGTTGATTAGTTCAGAAACATGTATGGAATCTCCATTGTCTTCTCCCCATTTTTTAATTATTAAAATTTTTAAAGTGATTAAGAAAATAATATTTCACATACATTTGATAAAAGTGTTTATTAGTTAAATTTTTAAAAATTAAAAGAAAATATATTTTAAAATTATACTATTTTAGTAAGGTTTTGTTAAAATAATTAAATAATATATTTAATCAACTTTTGTTGTTCTTTTATTGAAATTATAACTTTTTCTTCTTAATTTTTTATATATTATAACTATATTATTAAGTATAATTATAAACTTATAATTATGATATATCATCAAATATATAAATACATATAATATTATAAATAAATATTTAAATAAAAATTAATTATATAATAAATTATTATTAATATGAATTTATAATATTAAATAATATTATAATTAAAAAATAATATTTTACATATCATTCTTTCAAGATTTTTTTAAAAGACATCTTTAAAATTTTAATTTTTAATTAATATTTTAAAAACCAATTATTGAATTAAAAATTTTATTCATATAAATTATATATATTAAATTTTAAATTATTTTAATAGACCTAATCACTTTATTAATTATAAAAAATTTAATATTATTAAATATATGTTAATAAATAAAATTTTTTATCAAAAAATATAAATATTAAAACAATATAAAAATTCATATATATAATTTATATAAATAAAAATTTTAATTTAATAATTAATTTTTAAAAATATTAATTAAAAATAAATTTTTAAATAAACCTTTTAAAAAAAATTTAAAATACTTTATTCTACCTTATTCCCTTATGATTATATCATTTTTTAAAATTGTTAAAAGGTCCAAACACTCATTTCTATATATTTAGTACATTATTATATGAAGAAAAATGTACAAAGTGTACAATAGCTGCTGGGACCTCCTCTTCCCCATGGTGTCGGTCAGGTGACGCAGTCATAGATGTCGTTGTAAGCAACCTTTAATATGTCTATTCAAAAATTAATGTGCACTTTAATTTTACCTTTACAATTCGGGCATTTAGCACTTATTATTATTATTATTTAACTAATTATATAAAGTATTGTATTCGAATTGAAAAAAGAGATACATTTAAATGTAATTTGAAGTCACTTGATCCAAAGGTTTAAATGCGACGTTTAGCACTTATTAACTTCAATATTTTTCTATAACTTTCACTTAAAGTCTATTATCTTTTCCAATGCATTAATTAGATATAAGTATGCAATAAATTTGTGCTTTGTTACACTTTATACATTCTATAATGTAAAATGACCCAAATAGAATTCCATCTCCTAACATAAAAATGTACCATTATAAGTTATATTTTGATTTAATTTTTGTATAAGAGATTTAGTTTCAATATAAAATGTTACAAATAGAAAAACACTATTACTACCATATAGACCATCATTGTATAATACATAAAAAGTAGATTAAATGTGCAAATCACCTCTTGTAATTTTGAATTGAAATAAATTAATATTTAGTAAAAAAAATTGAGGTAAATTATTATTTAAATTTTATTTAAAGAAATTGATTGAAATTTAATAATTAACGTTAATTTTTTTGTTAATTTTAAGAGCAATAATTTAATAAAAAAATAATTGTATAAACATTAAACATTAAATTTAATCAATTTCTTTGAAATGAAATTTTAAAATAACGATTTGCTTCAATTTTTTTGAACTAATTTTCTTTAATTTAAAAACTTTATAAGAACTTTGTACTTTTGTAAAAAAAATAAATTTAATTTTAGTTACAAAAATAAAAATTTCTTTAAAAATGAACTAATATTGTATTTATTTCATTGACGACTTAAATAATTTAGTGATCATTTTTTTGTTAAAAATAAAAAATTTTAAATATAAATTACATAACATGCGAGTAAAATGAGATAATCGATAAGATATGATTACTTCTCATTTTATAATCAAAATAATATATATATATATATATATTGTACTTGGTTCTATATACAAATTATCTTCCTTTTTTCGTTTTTCGAGCAACCTAATGCTTCAAAATTCAAATTCAACTCTTTGTCATCCTGTGAAATCGAAGAAGGAACGAGGGACCATAAGTTCAATCTTTCAACTCACAGGTAAAGAAGCCCTTTTAGTACTAAAGTTAAGCAACTTAAACTATAGTCAGTTTCTCACTAATCACCTCTAAATATATCTAAATATGATGAGTAATACATTTATATATAAATTTTATACATTATATTTATATTTAATAATTTATTTTTAATTTGTAATAGTTAAAATTTATTATTTTTTAAATAATTATATTTAATTTTTAATAAATATAAATAAATTTTAATAATTAAAAATAAAAATTTTTTATATAAATATAATATATAAAATTTATATATAAATAAATCACTAATCATTCAATATAAATGCCAAAAGAAAGATTAATTAAAATTAACAACTTTTCTCAACCACAATGAATCACTTTGCCCACAAACAGTGGAAAAAATCTAAATTTAGCGCCACTTCCTCTCCAAAGTCAAACTCCTCCCCACTTTTTCTCTCTTTCTCCCATCCCCTGCCAAACACGTTATTGACTATTATTTAATTTTCCTTTTGAAATTTTCCTTCTGAAAATATATGAACATTCATAGATGAAGTTTACTAATTCATTAATACAGAATCAAAGTACCTATTTTAAAAGATTTAATTAATTTAGTTTTGGAGGAAATTGAAATTAGATTGGGGATCCACCAATGAGGGAACTCCTAAGGAAAAAAAAGAAAAGAAAAAAAAACCTTTTACACTAACACACAAACAAAATCAAAACCCACTTTCTCTCTCCTCATTTCTTTTCCCTCTATCTCTCTTTGATCTCTGGGAGAGCAAAACAAGCTTCAATCATCGAAACCCAGAAACCGGAGACTCCAAAGATTGATTCTTTGATCCAAATCTTGAACTGGGTAATAGGAGAAACGGAGAAATAAGGTGGAAAAGGGACGGAAAACCCCATCTTGTTCGTCTGCAATCCAATGCGGTCTTTGCTGAAAAGACCCAAAGGAAGAAGCATAAAGCACTTGGAACGGATAGAGGAAAGGATTTGAAGGAAACCCATATAGAGAGATAGCGAATTGGGTGTGGATCTGATGGTGGGTGGTGGATTGGGTGTTGGGAGGTGTAAAGAAAGGTTTTTTGGGGTGATTGTTGGACAAGGTGGTGTTTTTAGGAGGGTAGAATCTTGTGCAGTGGGGCTGCATAGACGAGGATGCAGCTTCACTTCTCGCCTAGCATGAGAAGTATCACGATATCGATCAGCAATGGATTTATTGACTTAATGAAGATCAAGGTCGCAGCTCGCCACATCTCTTATCGAACCCTTTTCCACACCATTCTCATCCTCGCTTTCTTGTTGCCTTTTGTCTTCATTCTCACTGCTCTAGTTACCCTCGAAGGTGTCAACAAGTGTTCCTCATTTGGTACTCTTTTTTTCTACTACTTTGCCTCTGTTATCTAATATCTATTTGCATATCCAATGGATCTTTTTCCTGATTAATGATTTGTCCCGTCTAATGCACATGCATATGAATATTTTGGTTCGTGCAAATGTAGATTTCTGGGGGATTCTTGATTTGATTTGGGATTTATTGTTTTATTATGTATTAGTCTTGCATTCCTGAATTTTGTTCATGCGTCCGTTCATATGTATTTGATGGGGGATCCTGGATTAATTTCATTGCACTCGCATGCCACTTTTTGGGTTGTTAATTAGGAATGGACTGGGATTTGTGACTTTTTTGGTGGTATGATTACCATTCTTCCTGTTTTTATAGTCTCAAATTGTTGATGAATATGTATAATTAGTTTGGAGACTGGGGATAGGCTGTTTCTGGGGTGTTAAAGTTATGTATGATATGATATGATATAATGTTATAAGATCTGTATCACGGAAAAATGAATCTATCGAGGTTTTCATTCAATTTCTTTTACTAATTGAGTCTGAATCTTGAGTGTGTAACATAATTTTGATATGGATGATAAGTACTTTTTGTATGTGCTCAGTTGTTTTATGCAACCTGGGTCACAAATCTTGTCCATTGTGCAAATGAAAGCTTCCTGCTCCATAGCAACCAAAACACTACACCATACCATCAAAACCCTTTTCCAAGTTCCACTGAGCTTCTTCTAGCAACTACTTTAATATGGCTACGAGGCTGCCTTCTTTTTCACATTTTGTTTAGGTTGTGGATCCATGACATTTGTTATTGTTTTCTTCTGTTTTTCAGATTGCTTAGGTAGGCGTTTGGGACCAAAGCTTCTTGGGAGGGTTGATGATTCAGGGGTAAACATCCCTCATTTTGCATAAAAAAATCTCCTTTTAATTTGTTTGCTATCAATATATATTTTTTTAAAGCAATTTTAATTTAAGCTGGATCTTCGTGTGGTGCTGATGGTGCAGCAGAGGCTAGTCAAGGACTTCTATAAGATCCTTAATCTAGTAAATACTGAGGAAATTCCAGAAGGTCTAAAACTTCCAGATTCATTCAGCCAACTTGTTTCTGAAATGAAGAGTAACCAATATGATGCAAGGACCTTTGCCTTCATGTTAAGGGGAATGGTAGGTTTCATATTTTTTAAATTTGTTTAGCAATACGATCAATTATTAGTAATTAATTTATTTTGCTTCTCATGACATAGAATAAAAGCAATAAAGATGATACAGAATAGATTGAATCTTGCCACCTATATAAAGGCCGGTCAAAGATTGTTGTGTTATAATTTATTGGACATCCAAACTATTCTTAAACATAAGCATGGATTTTCTCTTTGCTAGAAAGCCTTCTTTTGCCTTTCTTGCAATTCTATGTGGAATTAGATTATGTACATGTTATGCAGAACAATTGCGTACTTCTCAATTGTTATCATTATTTTTCTTGTTTTTGCACAGACAGAGAAACTTGAAAGAGAAATTAGGGAATCTAAATTTGCAGAGTTGATGAACAAACACTTTGCTGCAAGTTCCATTCCAAAAGGCATCCACTGTCTCTCTCTACGGCTAACAGATGAATACTCCTCCAATGCTCATGCACGTAGACAACTGCCTTCTCCAGAGCTACTCCCTGTGCTTTCTAACAACTCCTACCACCACTTTGTCCTTTCAACTGATAATATTTTAGCTGCTTCTGTTGTTGTTGCTTCTGCTGTCCAGTCATCTGTAAAACCTGAAAAGATTGTCTTTCATGTCATTACTGATAAGAAAACTTATGCGGGTATGCACTCATGGTTTGCACTAAATCCTGTCTCCCCTGCCATTGTTGAAGTGAAAGGAATTCACCAGTTTGATTGGTTAACAAGAGAGAATGTTCCTGTGCTTGAAGCTGTTGAGAATCATAATGGGATCAGAAATTACTATCATGGAAATCATGTTGCAGGGGCGAACCTCTCTGATACTACTCCTCGCACATTTGCTTCAAAATTGCAGGCAAGAAGTCCTAAATACATATCCTTGCTCAACCATCTCCGGATATATTTACCAGAGGTAATCAAAAGCAACCTTAAAGTTTTGAGACTTTTAATTGGTGATAGGCAGGCAGCATGTTTCTAAAACATCATGTTAGAACTTGAATTTTAATCTACTGGGGTAATAAAAAAATTTCCTGTGATTTGTTTCCTGTCTACTGTTTGTCTGTTAGATCCAAAAGGATTATGAAAAAAGAGAAAGATTTTTCAATGGTGTAGGGTTTAGTAAATTTGTAAATGAGGTTTAGATTGGTTTGACGGTAGCTTTTAGCTTGGTTTTTTCAGGGACTATTTGGAAGTACTGTTTTTTTAAAACCCATTTAATTCTGCATTGTGCAATGTGAAATGTGATTTCTTAATTAAACCCTTGAGATGGCTATGAAAGTTGCAAAGTGCTAAGTTTAGGTGCTTGAAAAACCAAAGATGAATGTGTAAACTTCTCTTTGCATGTGAAAGGGCAAGATCTAAGAATTGGACATTTATTCTACTGAGAGTGTTGGGGTGTAATGTTCTCTTTAATGAGCATTTATCTTTTTAGTCAATCTCTTATGCTGAAGAGGTGTGTGCATTGTGTGATGTTTTAAACAGCTCTTTCCAAACCTTGAGAAGGTGGTCTTCTTAGATGATGATGTTGTAGTTCAGCGTGATTTGTCTCCACTTTGGGAGATTGACCTTAGGGGAAAGGTTAATGGAGCTGTAGAAACTTGTAAAGGTGAAGATGAGTGGGTTATGTCTAAGCATTTCAGAAACTATTTCAATTTTTCTCATCCCCTTATAGCAAAGAATTTGAATCCTGATGAATGTGCCTGGGCTTATGGAATGAATATCTTTGATCTTCGGGCTTGGAGGAAGACAAATATAAGAGAGACTTACCATTCTTGGCTGAAAGAGGTAATCTATTGTTTGAATAATTATTTGTTTTCTTACACTTCTGTCATCATGGATTAAACACACAGTGACAATTGCAGATAACGCATACTAGATTGAATTTGGGAATTGAAAATGATCTTCCAAAGTTTCTGGAGAATCCAAGGCACTGTTTTTCCATTTTAAAGTAGTTCTCATCACTGTCTTTCTTTTGACCAATCTACGTGGCAATGGGCTCTAAACCTTTTCTGTTTTGTTAATTCGTTTGAGCCACTGTTGCTATAGTTGTATATGATGAGGTTCTACCTTTTACTTTTTCCTTTTAAATCGTTTCAGAAAATAAATGTTTCAACTTTCTGGCCCATCTTTATGTGGTCTGAAAACCTATTGAAGGAAATTGGAAACTGCGAGATGGGGATATTCTTAGATCAAAATAATACATGTTGGACCTTAACTGCAGATGATACTGACTTTTAGATATAATTTTATGTTCGTTTTAATTTCATCATTAGTTTTATTCTATCATTAGTTTTATTCAGTTTAGATAGTGAATTGTTGCAAACACTATTTGGCTTGTCACTGTTTTCTGCTAATTGTTGGTTTATTGTTGGTTTTCCGTCTGGCAGAACTTGAAATCAAACCTGACTTTGTGGAAGCTTGGAACTCTACCACCCGCGTTGATTGCATTTAAAGGTCATGTTCACCCAATTGATCCGTCATGGCATATGCTTGGTTTGGGCTATCAGAATAAGACCAACATTGAGAATGTGAAAAAGGCAGCGGTTATCCATTACAATGGCCAGTCCAAACCATGGCTACAAATTGGCTTTGAGCATCTTCGACCATTTTGGACCAAGTACATCAACTACTCAAATGATTTTATTAGAAATTGCCACATTTTGGAGTCATAATCAATCACCTAGACAAGTAAGAAGAAGAGATACAACAGGAAATGGCACAATTGATACAGATATCATTAGTTATCCTGTGGGTTGAAAATTTTCTCAAGATTTTGGTCAGAAAAAAATGAATTTCTCAAGATTTATTTGAGAAGGCAAGGTGAAGTACAAGATTTTTGACATTGGGATTTTGATGTCATCCCTCAAAACATTAGCAGGAGACACCTGCACCATCCGCACAGCCATGAGATTCATTCTTTCAGTCTGTAACATAGCTCCATGGTTTTTTTTTTTACTTGGAAACAGGATACTGTTATTGATCTCGCTGCAGGGTTCCTGCCTGATTTCTTAGTGGATATTTTGGAATAAGGTGAAATACACAAAAACTAGAAGTGGCCTTGGACGCTGCCATCAGATTGATTGGTTTAGAGAAGAGGAGGCTGGCTGGCTGGCTGGCTAGGAAAAGGTCTCAATTTATTTCCTTTCGTTGTTTCCAATTTTTGTTAGTACCTTCCCATTTTTCCCATTCTAGGAGAGATTGCTTTGTCACAGGTCCCATGAATGGGGGAACTGTTCTTAGCTTACATATTGATTTCTTATGTACGATTTCACGACAAACATTTAAAATGTGCAGAAAAATTCTTTCCCAATTCTTATATCAATCATATCTCAATTTTCGTCTTGTTCTTCCTCTCTGATAGCTTGAAATTCATCGTAGTCTTCATTGTCTTCTCTCCTCTTCTGGCGTGACTCTAGTGCATTACATTAAATGCTTGGCCCATTAACATCTATTAATTAATTTTTTTAAGATAACGACTTTAGAAAAAAAATAAAACGTCTTAATATTAAAAATATTAA